ACAAGTTATCATTGGATACTTATTTTTCTTGGACGAAAGGCATCGAAGAAATGCCTTATGGTTTTTTCAATTATAGACTCCCCATTGGTTCCTAGAGATAAAACGACGGGAATCGTAATCCTATTCTTGAGAGAATTTTGCACTATATAAAGAGGTCTTTGGACCTCCTAAAATACAGAACTTATATAGATATTAAGTAAATTATATACTATAATTAATACTGAGAAACTGATTAAAATGAATGCAACAAACATGGACTTGGACAATTTACTTCAACAAAACTGACATTCGTGGAACACTACATATATTTTTCAAGTAATACTCAAAATACCAGGTTGTAAAGTATAATAACCAAATTCATCTCGAAGTAGAAAATTTACAGTCTGAATATAATTGAAACTATCCCCCGTATCCTAATTTTGTTAGTCCTAAAACATTTTTCTTTTGAATCTTGGAATTTAAACATATCGTAGATTGATGGCTCTATTAACAGTAAAACAGCTTTATTTGTTCCTATTATAAGATTCTTTGAAGTGATTATAATTAGTGGTGGAACATATGTCATATTTGAACCAGAATCTTTTTATTATGCTATAGCGAGTATTTATATATGCTCATAAAGTTTTATAATTTAATCATATGAATTTGGCTATTCCGAAATATCTGTTGTAGCTTTAATTGAATCCATTTTCGATAATTCATTCATTTGAGAGAAATTTTGCTTCTCTTGTAACGCATCTAAATCACCAAAAACTAAATCCATCTCTTCTAAAGGTACTCCTTTAGTCTCTGGGATAACAAACCAAGTGAAAGCAAATGCAATTATGGCAAATGCTGCAAAAAAGATATATGTTCCCCATTTCATTGTTTCCAACATACGGGGGGTGACCAAACCAATTATGAAATTATTCATCCATGTTGATGAAGTAGTAATGGATATAGCTTTGGACCTGATTCCAATAGAGAAGATTTCTGATGGTAAAACCCATCCAATAGGTGCCCAACTATATGAAAAATTGAAATCATATATAAAAATAAAAGCTATTGCCGCTCTACCAGCAGTTTTATGCTTAGATAAAGTATCACCATATTTACCGACAATTGCACCTACTATAACCAACGAAACAAAAGTTCCGGCTGCCCCAGCCATCAACAAAGTTTTTCTGCCGAATCTATCGATAGCAAAGATAGCAGGAATAGTTGAAAGGCAATTAACAATCCCATAGACACCTGTTCCTAACAATGCTGTGGTGTTGGAATCCATTCCTAATTGACTAAATATTGTTGGTGCATAATAAATAATTGCATTGCAACCAATAAATTGTTGGAAGAACATAACAGCAGAGCCTATAAAAACTCTCTTAAAATTGGATTTGGTAGAGAATAGATCCCAATATGATGATATATAGAAAGACATTCCAGTTTTTCCTTGGAATTTCCTGTCGTTATATTTTTGTTCAAATAATACGTCCGATTTAATTTCGTTGAATTCAGCATCAATCATATCAGGATTATTTCTTCTTCTCAAATAATTCAAAGACTCCCATGCCTCTTCTTCCCTTTTTCTTGATAAGAGCCATCTTGGTGATCTTGGGAAAAAAGACATACCAACACCTAAAATGAAAGCTGGTGCAATTTGTAAACCAAATGGAACTCTCCAGGAAGCATCTTTTTGACCGTAACAACCACCTTGAGGAACATCGACATATGGGTCGAATGTATCGCCTTTGTAATCTTGGTTGGGAGCGCATTTAGTTCCTCCAATAAATTGAGTGCCATAATTTATCCAAAATGATATCAAAATACCTATTGTTATTGATAATTGCTGTATTACAACTAAACCACCTCTTACTGAAGGTGGCGCTAATTCCGACATATACATTGGAACTACCATAGTCAATTGTCCGACACCGATACCAGCAACTGCTCTCCCAGCGAAAAGCATACTAACCGATTTGCCTGCACATTGAAAGACAGATCCGATAACAAATACGGCACAAGCTATTCTTATAGTATCCCTTCTTCCAAATCTATCAACAACAGGTGAATTTATCAATGAACCAAACCAAGCACACAACAAAAATGTAGAAACAAACCATCCCTTGTAATCAGGATCAGAAAAAATCCTTGGGAATTTTGCCGCAAATGATTCCATAGTAACTATACCACTAATAACTCCCTGATCATACCCAAAGAGTAAACCTCCAATAGATGCGAATGCAATTATGCAAAACACTAACGGATCTTTAGTCATAACAGTAATAACGTTTCCTTTGGAATTATCTTCTAATCCAATAGCAGTAGTCATTTTTATTCACAATATTCCTCTTATTGTAAGATACTGAAACTTTTTCTAATGGAAACTCGGTCTTTTATATTTGGATACGGAATATGCGAAATCCACAATAGACGTACCCACACTTGTTAATGTTGTCTTATAAACCGTATGTATTACTCCACAAATACAGCTTGTGTAAATCTGTGCATGATTGTCTACGGCAGAAGTTGATCCGAATGTATCTAAAGGAGTAGTGTTCTCCATTGTATAGGTTTATTAGCCCCACATCCCCCACGCTCGTATTCTTTAGTTTACTAAGAACAAAAGAAAATTTATGCGAGCGCTAAGGGGAAAGTCCGTTCAACTAGCAGGTTCTCTTATTTTTCCGGGAGCAAGTAGGGCGAAAAGTGATAAAATAGGAAAGTAGTACAATAAAACAATATAATGCGCATAGGATATTTGTGGTGCATGGAATTTAAGCTAACAACTATATATGAATAGTTTCATTAACACGATGACATTTAGTGGAACCATCCTAGACTTTATTTAACTCATTTCACTTTTCTATTTTAATTTTTTTGGGTTAGACTTAATTGTGAATGAGAAGTGAATAATGATTTTGGAGGGTAGCTTAGATTCAAATATAGAAACGTTGACCCAGAGAGCTATAATATTGTATCATGAAAGGAAAGATAGCAACCAAAGGTTAATTGTATCTGTGGCAGGTGTTCCAGGATCAGGAAAATCGACTATAACTGGAAAAGTTTGTAAAAGCCTTAACAAGACGTTGGGCCTGCAAATTGCCATTGTTTTACCACAAGATGGATTTCATTATTATCGTAAAGAGTTAATGGCTATGAACGATACAGATGTGCTTATAAAAAGAAGAGGTGCTCCGTTTACTTTCAATAACTCGCGGTTTCTTCAATTGGTGAAGGAAGTTAAAGAAAGCGGTAACACTACGATATTTGCACCAAGTTTTGATCACGAGCTAAAGGACCCGCAAGAAAACTCTATAGAAATATCTCCCCTGGTGAAGATAATATTACTTGAAGGTAACTATGTTCACTTAAAAGACGATGGATGGAGAGAGATACACACACTTAGTGACGAAAAATGGTTGGTATTGGCAGACTTGGACACTATCAAACATCGACTTGTTCAAAGACATATCCTGGCTGGTATATGTTCCACTATAGATGAGTCAGTTAGTCGAGTCGAATCTAATGATTTGGTCAATGCAAATTATATTGTTGACCATTCTGTGCAACCAGATATTATCTTCATGAACCAATGAAGGAAAGTTTAGACTTGAAGTTTTTTGATAGCAAGAGCTTACATTGATTATTCAATTTATAGATTTCTATTATATATAATAGCATAGTGAATTAAATTGTTACCTAGTATTTTTCATGTATATTAAGACCAATATCTATATTGTAGGCTTTTATCTAATTATCTAAGTCCCAGGTATGCTTTTCGCGTTGATTTGAACTGCGAAAAATGACATACTGTATACTGGTCACGATTTAGGAAGCTTTTTAATAATTTTCTGTACCAAATATCGAGTTCTAATAAATATCTTTTTATGCTCCATTGTGGCAAATTTTATCATTAAGATTGACGTGAAATGAAATATGCGGAGAGAGAAAGCAGTGTTCAACAGGCCTGCGACTCTTGCCGGTTACGAAAATTGAAATGTTCAAAAGGATTACCCCAGTGTCATAATTGCAAAGAACACAGTTGGAAATGTGTTTATTCACCTAAAGCTGTCAGAACTCCATTAACAAGGGCGTATTTAACGAGGGTAGAGAAAAGAGTCAAGGGTTTGGAATCATTATTGAAAAGGCTTTTACCTGAAGATGTAGAAATTAACGAGCTTTTACGAACTATTGAGATTAATAAATCTCATTCTATAGACGAAGGTGATAGCAGTGGCGGTGTAGATGATGTAAGTCAGCAATTCTATAGGCAAATTAATTTAACCTCCAATGAGTTAAGCGAAATTCCCATTACTTTGAAAAATATCAACAGAATAAGCCAAAAAAAGGCTAAAGATAATACTACTGAGAAGAAACGTGAGTTTCAACCTGAAGATTATTTGATAAATATAGAAAAGAGTGATCTAAATTCTTTTGATGAAAGAGATGATTTCAACAGTAATTCCCAAATTCTATATGACTCGAGTATTGATGGGATGGCGGCTTTGTCAAATGATATTGGTTTAAATTTTGACAACTCAAATGGGTATTTCGGTATCAACTCAAGCAATGGTTTATTAAAATTTTTACAAGCTAAATCGAGGAAGAATGGGAATGGTATACTCAAATTGAACAATTATAATTATGATTTTAATAATGAAGAAAACGACAATGACCATATATTAGATGACGAAATTAATAATATTTGGAAATCCATTAATAGCGGTAAAATTGAAGACTTATTGGATAATCTAAACTTTCAGTCCATTATGGTTAATTCTTTCTTTGAAAATTACTACAAAGTGTATCCTTTCATTAACAAAAAGAAATTTCTCTCTGAATATTCAGCTTTTATTGAGAGACAAGAATCAAGATACAATGAATATGATCTTGATATTAACGAAGACGATAATAAAGTGTTGAGCTTTCAAGTGTTATTGAATACAGTATTAGCTATTGGTGTTTGGTGTAAGGTAGGAGAGAATTCCAAGATCCATACTTTCTACTACCAAAGGGTTAAAGGTTTCATTCAACTCTTGAATATCTTCGAATATAGTGATACTCAATTATTGGAAAGTTTTGTGCTTTTAAGTAACTATGTCCAAAAAACGAATAAGCCTAACACAGGTTGGAGCTATTTGGGTCTATCAACTAGGATTGCTACAAGCTTAGGTTTGCATAAAGAAGTTCGAATTGATAAGCATGATTTTAATAGTGCTGATAAGCTAGGACTCTTTGAAGATATTGAAACTAGGAAAAGGTTATGGTGGGGGATGTATTTTTTTGATGTAGGTACTACTTTGACATTTGGAAGACCATTGACAATCCCTCCTTTAGGTACTATTGATTTAGAACCGGTGTCAAATATTGATGACAACCTATTAAATGGTAGTAAAAATATTGAAGAGTGTATTGTGACTTATCCAACTATTTACACCACATTGATTTATGAGTCTGAACTTACAAAACTATCTACAAGAATCTATAACTATAATTCTAGTGTATTAAAATTGAAAAATGACAAGTCTAAAATGATAGGTCTATTAGATATGAATGAATTGTTAGAGAACTTTGTTAAGAATTTACCACTGTGTTTTGATGAAAACGATGAAAAATCATACGCATACGTATTGAATAGCTGGTCTAGTAATCATTATGATAATGAAAATCAATCAATTCCGAAATGGTTTGCGGTATCAAGGTTAAGGCTCATATGTAGGTATAAAAATCTACAAATGCTAATATTTAGATATATTTTGTGGGAGTCAACTAATGATAATTCATTTGATTTATCTTATCTAAATTTGATAAAGAAGTGCCGTAAAGCTTGCTTCAAGTCCTCGGTTGAGACTGTTGTATTAATTGATAATTTCATCAAAAGGAATGAACTAGATTACTTGTCGTCTTGGTATGCCACGTATTTCCTTTTCCAGGCAATACTAATTCCCATTCTAAAATTAGTGATTAATGATAACTCAAAGGGCAGCGTAGATGATGAATATTATTCTAATAATGAAGAATTATTCAACTACATTGAGCTTTCACGGTTAAGCTTTGATAAACTAAAGAAGTTCAATAAGCTAGCTGGAAAATTTAGCAAATTAATAGACACATTGATCTACGATAAAATAGATGCTGTTGATTTTATGTCTCAATGGAATGATGATAATATAAGTAATCTTGACCTGGTTAACAACCTTGACGATTTATTTCAATTTGATACGAAATTTTTCAACCTGGATAGTTAAGAATTGGATTATGCATTACACATTAGTTGTAGAGGATATTGAGAGTGTAAATGGAGACATAAATATTAATGTTTTCATTATCATTTGATACAATCACTGGTATCATTTCAGTTCGACCGTTTTGCAGCCCAAAACACAGGGCAAGCAATAGATAAGGTTCTCGAAACCGAAAGAAAGTAGCATATAACCACGAAATAGGGAACTAATTACGCTCAACGTCAGCTGAAATCATAATCGCTAAGTAATATGTTTGCGTTATTTTAATAGGTACCAAGTAATTTGTCAAATTTTACGTCCTTGAGTAAGGCTTTAAAAGAAATATTAATCAATTACAACTAGAATATGGTATTTGAACTCATTGGTTATATTTTTTCGGATATGTGGGATGATTAGTAGGTATTGAAAAAGCTGGTAAATATACATAGTACGAATACACAAATTGGAACCAATTTATCAAAATGTTTTTTTTTTTAAGAACGACAATTGAAAGTGTATGTATCAAATTGAATTTATGAATATAATCTATATACTACATATGACATTTCGACTTTAATTCATTACATTGCAAATGTAGGATTAATAAACATAATTATAGTATATAAATACTATATATTAAAAGCTTATAAATAGCTTATAATTTTTGCATAGCAGCAATATCGGTAGATTGAACGTGGTCTTCAAATTCTTCAATTGAAGATTGTAAGTCATCTAAAGAAACCTTGTCATCTTCAACAACTAAGTTGATTTGTAATTTCTTGATACCGAAACCAACTGGGATCCATTGGTGAGCACCCCAAGTTAAACCATCTAAGTCGACGGACTTAACGTTAGCTAATAATTCTTCTAAGTTGGTTTCATCATCCCATGGCTTGACGTCTAAGGTGACAATAGACTTAGCAGCTGGCTTTGGGCCCTTAGCAGCCTTCTTAGCAGCGTAGTCAGCTAATCTTTGCTGTTTCACTTTTTCAGCTTCTTCATCAACTTCATCGTCAGAGCCAAATAAATCGACATCATCATCATCTTCAGCAGCAGCAGCAGAACCAGCTGGGACCTTACCGGCTGGTAATTCAGCAAATTCTTCGGTGAATGATGCAATGTGGTTAAACCATCTAGCAAATTGTGGGAATTCTTTTTGGAAAGCCTTGTAAACGGTAACGTCAGCTTGAGTAGCAGAGGTACTAGATTCTATGTTAGTATGCAATTAATCAAACCATTTGCAATTGATTGTGAGGTACAGGCATATATAAATCTTATAATTAAAATAAATTCAGAATTGATATTTAGAATCTTCTTTGTCACTCATACGGTGGGTCTTGAATCCACCTCATAAACACGGACCAAAGATTAGGATCATCATTAAGTTTATTATAGTTTAATTTTGATAGTTGTAATCAATTGCAATAATTAAAGCAAATGGTTGTATAAACTATACAAAAATTTTGTATCTCAAATCAATAACTTCATTACGAATGAATTTTAATACATACCCTTCAATGTAAGACTTGTCAGCCAAGAATTCGTTTAATGATTTGATGGTTTCAACCTTGGAAAAATCGGAGAAAGACATTTTGGATATTATAATTGATTTTTATACAGAAAAAGTAAAGTAAATTTATAATAAATAAATCAGGAGTTTTGATGAGTGGAAAATTTTTCGAAATTGTTGGAACGATTTGTTCATTATTCCGATTAGGGCTGCGATGAGTTATAGTACAAGATTTACTCTTGCGCTTTTAACTATTTTTAGTGCTATATAAAATATGAGTATGAGTTATCCGGGTAAGAATCATGTGGCCCCCAGTATAAGTTGCAAAATACTGATAGATATAGAGTATCAGTCAAGTTCAATAAATCATGAAGTAATGATCAAAGATGAAGATGTGTACGAACGAAGAGCTTTAAAAATCAAAAAGAAACAAAATTTACGGGACAGCAGCAAGTTTATAAAATAAAATACTGGCTATCGAAGCCACGTTATTATTAATGGCATATACAATTAATATTAACTTTTCAACGATAGAAAACAAGTAAACAAGGGAGAACAGTCTAAGTAAAACAAGGAAAATGTACGTCTGGGGTTATTATTAGCGACGTAGGTGGTTAAGCAAACTTCCATTGCGAGCATTCAAACGAAGCGTAGCATCTAAATTCATTGCCTAATTCGTTTTTATGCTCTGGGTAGAAATCGGTGATGGAAGTATCGGGATAGTTTTTCTTGATCACGTCTCTCATCCTTTCACCAGTGGAGGTGACTAATTTGTATTTCAAGTCACCATTAATGGTTTTTTCAGTTTTGTCCTTTACGAGAAGATTATGCGCGGCAATAGCGGAATTAGTCTGGCATTCTTCCTCCAAGAAAGGTGGGTCAACTAAAACTCTATGACACTTGTTTCTAAGGTGACTAGGGATTTCATGAGGTTTGTGATAGTCATAAAAACTGAAGTGAGACCCACCTAAAATTTCGAATCTTCTGTCGTATTCAAGGATGTAAATGTGCTTGGTTGGTAATTCTTCCTGTGGAAATTTTTTAATCGCTGCATACACCGAGGGTGCACTTGCAATAACAATAACTGTATCTTCATCAGCCCCTTCTAATAAAGCTTTACCCAATATTTCGGCCGTATTATGAGAATACCAGAACTGAGAAAGCTGCCAGTCTTCTTGGAAGGTATCAATAGTAATATCTTTTTGAGTTGCAAAGTCCTCTTCAGACTTCTTGTATAAGGATGCAAAATTCTCTTGTCTTTCATTTTCCTCTTTTTTGAACTCTTCGAGAGCCGCTAAAGCGTATGAGGACAAGCTTAAAGGTTCGTCATCTGACAACATCTTTTTTTCATCAAAAAGTTTATTATAAAGAAACCAAGAAAAATGGAATCTTCAAGTATCGTAAAAAAAATAGCCGATGTCGTCATCATTAAAGTCGTGTATATACCAACACACAGAAAACAAGAAAACTGTATGGAACCTCCTCTTGTTTACATATAGTAGTTTAATAACACCAAGCATCACTACTACATAGTCCTTTAGTATGCTGTTTTCGTGTCCTCCAAGCGAGTTAGTCTCGCATATTTTAGAAACACTTGCCTTCTCTGGTCAGCATGGTATTTCATTACTCGAAATGTGGGAGAAAGTAGCACATAAATTGCAGCTGCCATCATTAGATGACTTTCAAAAACAGATAATATGGCAATGGCTCTTTTTCTATAATGAGTCAGATATCATACATCATCTGTATATAATCGATGGTGATCGTCCTGTGGCGATATTGCCAAGCTATAAGAGTTTCTTGGAAGAAGTGGGTTCTGAAAGAACCCTTAAAATAATGCCCAGTTCAGAAACGCAATGGAGATATTTAACAGGAGTTGGAAACTCAAAAAGATTGAAGCTTCAACTAGGGGAGTACCCATTTCAATTACTATGTGAAATAGCAAAATATGGCCGGAATGGTATTTATGCACCGGATTTGTGTAAAGCTACAGGCCAAGATCCAAGGTCTTTGACTTTAAGATTACGAAAATTAGAAGAATTGGGGTTCATCATAAAGAAAAATGTCTATAATGAGAAATCTAGTCAACACACCAGTTTGTGTATCCATAAGAAATTCAGTGAAGATGAAATTGAGTTGGCTCCCTCTGATTTTGGTGAAGATTTTGATAGTTCAAGAAACGTTAGTAAGTTAAAGCAATTCATCATGCAATCATTAAAAAATGCACCCAATAAACTAAGAGGGTTTAAGGATTTGAAAAGTGAGCTCAAGTTGGATAATGGAAGGTCATCAGGAAAGTTTTTTAGAAGTATAATCGAATATCTCCATAAGCGTGGATACGCCGAAAGGTTAATGGTGAAAGACCCAAACCAGTCGCAGTTAGTTTATTGCATCAAGTATATTAAAGATATTCCCAAAGATGCGGATGAAATTTCTGATTATGTCGATTTTTTTAATGAGCTTGATGACAATCCAAACCAAGAAGATGATGATTATGAAAATGATATAATCCCAACTTTTAATACTATATTTCCTCTATCAAACCAACTATATCAAGGCCTTTTGGGTACAGAAAAACATGGAGCTACGTCAATGGAATTAATACGGAACTTGACGGGCTTGTCAGATTATCGCCCAATTATAAAGTTATTGGATTCGTTAACCAGTTATGTAATTGATAATGGAAAATCAAAGGCTTTGAAAAACTATAGTGATGCTTACGATCAAACAGCTATAATTAGAGCATATGATTTCGAAGGAAAGTTCAAGTTTTATAGATATTTTAGTACGCAATATTCGGGATCATTACCTTCTGAAAAGCCGAAATCTAATAAGAAGACTACATCAACAGTTGAAAATATTTCGCTTGAAAATTTGAATAAGAAATATTTTCAACCATTGGGAAAAGTCCCACAGGGATCGCTAGTTAACTCTAGAAAAAGAAAGCTGGATGCTAACAACAAGAGATCTCTTAAGAAAACTAAAATTAATTCTACTGGAGAATCCGAAATCAAAAAGCCAAGGGGAAGACCCAAAAAAAATGCTGAAAGTAGCAGTAGTAACGTGGACCTTATAGAATCTTATCCAAAAGCTTCTTTATTATCAGGTAGTGACGAACATCAGCTGGATAGGAGATCATCAATGGTTGAAGCAATTCCTTCAGATGAAAGGGAAGAATTCAATATTAGTGGTCCCATAAGTTTAAGTGACATACTGTCAATTAAGCCGCCAACTGATTCGGATTTGAAATTTCAGAGAAAAAAGGTGATATCCTCTAAATCATCTACACATTCAGGATCGCTAAAAGCAATAAGAAGAAGAACCGAGTTAATAAATATAATCAAAGATTTAGGCGGAGTGACTTACACTACGGCAAATTTATGTCGTCTATTGGACAAACGACTCTGCAATTCAACTATTACTGATAAAAAAACCTTAGCTCGAGATGTATCGTTATTGATAAATAATGGTGAACTTGAAGTTCAAGATATTCAATTTATTAGATCAGGACAACCTATTTCTAGGAAGCTTTTGATATTAACCTCACCTGATCTTAAACCACTGGATGAAAAGATTGAGGAGATGAAACAACAATGTTTGATAGATAAAGGGTTACGACCAAATAATCAAGCAAGCAGACGTATAATTGAAGGCGAGGTTACTATATATTCTCAACCTAAAATATCGTTAACCAAGAAGGAAAGAAAAGGTCGTTTGGAGTCGTTATCTGAAAGAGATCCACATATGTCGGAGAATATTAAACAAAAGAAGGTTACTGTTAAAGAAGAGAACGATTTATCTACTAAAGTTGACGCAAGAAAGACTGATGCAAAGGCTGGAGACCCACTTTCGTCTCTTGTCTCGTCGAAGTCTAAAAGGAAAAGGAAAACAACATCCAAAAAGGGAAATGGAGTAACTAGCACATCTAATACCAAACATCGTATGCCTATTAAGTTCGATAAATCTGATGCAACTACGTTATATAGGGCAGTTGTTATTTCTCGGACTTTCAAAAGAGGAGCGATTGATTTTGAAAAAATTGCTACGTTGTTCAATGATATAAATGCAAGCGAAATCAAACTGAAATGGACCCTGGTTAGAAAACTTGTTGGCGGATTACCGGCAGTAATGAAGGGGATTGACTCATTTGAGTTTGTAGTAATGAGAGGTATAGAAAATGGGTTTGTATCTGCTAGTGATTTAGAAACTATTAATATCCAATTTTTTTTGGATTTGTGGAGGGACACGGATAGCTCAATTTTAGAAGTGGTAGATAAATCTCCGTTGTATGATACCGTGGATGACAATTTGGAAGAATACATATTTTCAGAATACAGTGATCATCAGCAAGACTTATTTGAACAACTTGAAGATAATTCAATGAGACGTAAAGAAGCAATACTTTCTAATTCAAATTTTACTTATGATAAGATACCGGAAGTTAAAAAAGAAATATACGACGAACACAGGACTGTTTTAAAAGCTATATTTGTCACACCGGAAGATAAATTTTCTAGTGATAGAGTGAATCAAATATTATCCGAATATGATGACGAAGCTATAAAAGAAGCATCTTTAGCACTCATTAAAGATAAAGAACTTTCACATTCTTTGGATGACTCTAATACGAGATTCATTTTAACCGATAGAGTTAATAATGCATTTATCCTGAAGATTTTTACTAGCAAATTTTTCAACCAGGCTGCTGAGTTCAAGAATAATATGCTAATTGTTTCAGAAGCATCCAAAGGCCTTATTTTATCGCATGGTATTCTAAGTGGTCAAATGGCAACTCTTTTGCATTTTCTTTCAGAAGAAGTTGTTGACTTGATTCGTGTCGATAAGCCATACAAATTCAACGGGTATGAATCAAGGTTGATTGATAAAGAAAAGTTAGCTTGTGATATCATTGCAACCAGTAATTATTCAGAAATAAAGAAAGAGAATCTTAAGAGTACACCAATACCAACAGGAAAAGCTTGCTCTCACATATGGCTTGACTTGAATGGAAATATTAACACTCAAATGTGGACAAAGATTATCATAAGCATACTTCATTATATAGTGTTCAGGCCTGGTGTACCCGAATTGATTATTTATTCGAAGTTGCGGCCAGTATTAGGGTATTCAGATTTTCATTGTGTCATCAAGTGGCTTTCGAAAACTAATTGTATCCATAAGGGCAAGAACCAAGGATATTGGGTAAAGAACGATTGGTTTTCTATTCTAGGTTATTGAGCTGATTTTAGGGTAATTAGATATATTAAAATATGTTGATATTGTAGATTTATTATAGGTAATATTATATGCAGGAATACATCGCATATGAAGTTCTTTTTAAATTTTTTTTTTATTTTCAGTCTAACTAGAATTGATATCTAAGGAAGACAGAGGAATAAAAAGTCAATTTGTAGCACTATGGGTTTAGCGGGAACTAAAGTGAAACAAAGATTTGGTTTAGATCCAAGAAACACCAACTGGTCGAATGATACTTCCAGATTTGGCCATCAATATTTGGAAAGAATGGGCTGGAAGCCAGGTAAAGGGTTGGGCTTAGTTGAACATGCTACCACTTCACACGTCAAGGTTTCCATAAAGGATGATAATTCGGGATTAGGTTCTAAACTAGCTAAGAAACATAAGACTGATGAATTTGATAGTGGTGAATGCTCTGGTTTAGATGTTTTTCAAAGGATTCTTGGGAGACTTAATGGGAAAGAGGAACAAATAAACAAAGAAATCGAAAGAAAAAGAAAAGATACTATTATTAATGGTAAATGGGGAATCCAATTTATCAAAGGAGAAGTTTTACAGAGCACATGGGACAAGGAAGCTAAAAAGCTTCTTGATAACGGAACCAGAAAGAAAAGAAAAATAGACTCAGTAGACTCCAGCGAAGAATCAGAGACGAGTACAGATAGCAAACAGAATAAGAAAAAAAAAATAAAGAAGGACCGCAAGGAAAAAGAAGAGAAGAAGGCCGGGAAGGAAAATAGTGAGATCAAAAAGGACAAGCAGAAGAAAGATAAGAAAGAAAAGAAAGAGAAGAAAGAGAAGAAAGAGAAGAAAGAGAAGAAAGAGGAGAAGAAAGAGAAGAAAGGTAAGAAAGATAA